GGCTGGCTGGCATGTGGTGCTGGGGGATTGAACCGCAGTCCCTGTGCTTTGCTAAGCTTGTTCTAAGTAGGTGCTTTAGACCACTGAGCCATCTCCCCAGCCCGAGCATTTTATTTGATACACTGACAGAGACTATTTTTTTTTTTTTTTTTTTGAACTGGGGATTGAACTCAGGCCCTTGAGCTTGCCAGGGAAGCGCTTATTCTACTGAGCCATCTCCCCAGCCCCCGAGACTGGTTTTATTTTGTCTTTTTGCAACAGGGTCTCATTCTGCAGTTCACACTGGCCTTGAACTCGCACCGATCCTACTGACATAATTTTAAAACACAAAGTCATCCATATAAAAAAGTTTTGAGGCCAGGGAGATGGCTCAGTGGAATAAGCGCTTCCCTGGCAAGCGCAAGGGTCTGAGTTCAATCCCCAGTAAAAAAAAAAAAAAAAAAAAAAAAAAATGTCATGCTTGAGGTCGGGGAGATGGCTCAGTGGAATAAGCGCTTCCCTGGCAAGCGCAAGGGTCTGAGTTCAATCCCCGGTTCCGCAAAAAAAAAGTTTTGAGTATTATCTATTTGGCAACACATTTTAAGCATAAACTTGGTGTGGCTATGCATGTCTATAATCCCAGCACTCAGAAGGCTGTGGCAGGAGGACTGCTATGAGTTTGAGGCCAGCCTAGGCTACAAAGTAAGTTCAAAGCCAGCCTCAGCTAAATAGTGACCCTGTCCCAAAAAGACCACACAAAAAAGTATTATATATATACATCACTTATCTATATAGCTATATAGTTATGGTTAGAAAGACTTCATATATTAATGCTGCCTCATGTAAAATCCATTATTATTTTTTAGTCTTTTACTTTATTTATTATTTGGTACAGGGTCTCACTACGCAGCTTGGACTCGCAGCGATCCTCCAGTCTTAACCTCCCCAGCAGTGGGATTACAGGCATGTGCCACCCACCACATCTGGTTTCGGTGGCCAGCATAGTGCTGTGCTACGTGGAACCAGGGATCAAACCTGGGTCCTTGTGCTTGCCTAAGCAGGTGCTTAGACTGCTGAGCTATTTCCCGGGTCCCATAAAACACTTATGAATGTGGATAATGTGAGGAAAACAATAGTTAAAAATGAACAAAACTGGACTAAGATGACAGATGAGAATTATTCTTTCCAGCATTTCTGTCATATTGCATGAAGAGGCAAAAGGGCTAATTCTCTAGTGGCTCTATGAAGAGCCTAATATGTATGTACAGTGGCACCAGTTATTATGAAAAGTTAACTTACCTGCTTTCCATCCACTTCAATATCTGCCACATAGTTCTCAAACACTGTGGGAACATATACTTCTGGGAACTGGTCCTTGCTGAAGACTATGAGTAAGCATGTCTTACCACAAGCTCCATCACCAACAATCACCAGTTTCTTTCGGATGGCAGCCATTGCTGAAACACAAAACAAAGGTGTTATAAAAAGCCACACATAAGCCAGGCAGGGTGGCACATGCCTATAACCTCAGTACTCAGAAGGCTGAGGCAGGATCCACACCTGTTCAAAGTTGGCCTGGGCTACATAATGAGTTCAAGGTTAGCCTAAACTACACAGTGAGACCATCTCAATCCCTCCATTCTTAAAAAAAAAGCTGTAGTCTCAGACTATGATGCAGTTTTGTGGCCATGGAACACAAGCTCCATAATATGCCTGAGTTCAAAATTCTAAAGTCAGGCATGGGGCATGCTAGCAATGCCTGTAATCCCAATAGTTTGAAGGCTGAGGTACAAGGATCATCCTGAATTCATGGACAGCTTGAACTATATAGTGAAAGCCTACCTCAACAACCTTCCTCACCCCCACAGTTTCATACACTTACCTCTTGATATCAAAAGGTTTTACACCAGAAACTTTAAAATTATACTTGATGGTTTAAAAAAAGATTTAATAGCTTTCCATGTAAGATTAGGAATAAGCAAAAGGGGTCTGTTCCTGCCACTTCTATACAACATGACATTTGAGATTCAAGTGGAATAATTAGGTTAAGAAAATGAAATAAAAGGTATTAGGAGGGCTGGGGATGTAGCTCAGTGGCAGTGTCTATTGTAAGACGTTCATGAGTCCCATATGCAGTAATACACACAGAGAAGATTCTAATTGGGAACGGTGGCACACACATCTCTAGTCCAGCTAGTTGGGAAAGTAACACAGGAGGATCACAAGTTCAAAGCCACTCTGGGCAACTCTGCAAGACTGTCTCAAAATAATAGCACTGGAATAAGCTCAGTGCTAGAATGTCCCTCAGTACTGCAAAGAAAGAGAAGAAAAAAAGGCATCCATCTTAGAAAAAGTAAAACCACTTCAAATCACACATAATTTCTTTTCCCCACCCTAGTACTGGCCAGTGAGCATAGTGCCCTTTTTTATTTTGAGACAGGGTCTTGCTAAGCCACTAAGCAGCCTATACTGCACTCAAACTCAGCATCATCCTGATTCATCCTCCCACAGTGCTGACAGGCATGTGCCACAATGTCAGGTTGTTTTTGTTTCTTTGAGACAGATTCTTGCTATGTATGCCAAGGAACCTTTGAATTTGGGCTGCGCCCCCCTCAACTTCTTGAGTGCTGGGATTATAGCATGTGCCACATCTAGCTATGATATGCTGTTATAAATGGGAAATGTTACGAATCCATTAAAAATTAGAATAAATAAGTTCAGCAATGTTATAGGGTATGAGACATCAATTGTAAAAAAAAATTCTAATACTCTACCAATGAACAGTATAAAAAAGAAAACTATAATACTTTCTTTTACATCATCATTATAATTAGTAAAAAGTTTAACCAAAGAAGTATAAAACTAGAGCCAGGCACAGTCATATCTACCCACAATCTCAGCTACTTTGGGAGGCTGAGATGGGAGGATCCTGAGTTCAAGGTCAGTTTGGGGAACACAGACTCAGGGGAGGGGAGGGTACAAAATCTATATGCTGAAGCCAGATGCAGTGGCACACACCTGTAATTCCAGCATTTAGGAAGCTGAGGCAGGAGTCACATGAATTTGAGGCCAGCCTGAGTGACTGCCAGACTATCTCAAAAAAACCAGAACTATATATTCTGAAAACTATAAATAAAGGTTAAGAGAAACTACAGAAGATCTAAATGGATAAAGTTCATATTTATGCTTTGAAAAACAACACTGTTAAAAAGTCAATCATTTCCAAATTTATTATAATATTTTGGAGGTACTAAGAGTGATGGTAAACCTTTTAGAGCATTCAACGATAACACAGCCATTGCGGCACATGCGCTACGGGTTTGCTACTACCACTGACCTAGGGCCTTCAAACTGAGCTATATCCCCAGGGCACACGCACAAAATGCTTTGTATTTTGAGACAGGGTCTTACAAAGTTGCTACGTTGCCTAGGCTTGGCTTGAAATTGCAATATTCTTGCCTTAGCCTCCCAAGTAATTGGAATTATACAAGTGTTCTACCACTACTAGCTAAGTTCTTAATTATTGTCTCAAGTTTAAAAACCTTTTACTCAGGAGGCTGAGGTAGAGATGGCTGAGAGTTCAAGGCCATCTGGGCTACATAAGTGAGACTCTGCCTCAAACAACCAACAAATGTAAAAATAAACCAATCCTTAATGTGTGAATTATCATACCGACCTCATTCAAGTCACTCATGGTGCTGAAAAGGCAAAGAAAATACCCATTTCATGTTGTGTTCTGCTATCACAAACAGGTCAATTTTAACCCAAATTTTAAAAAGTATTCTGAGCAAATTACAGTAAGTAGTCACTGCAAAAACAAAACCCAACCTGCAATGTATTTCCCATTCCTGTGCAAGTAATTTCAGAATGAGTATCCAAGAAAGGAGAATAAGGGGCTATGTGCAATGGCCTACAAAACCCTTCAATTCTAATTTGTACAAAGACTAGCCACTGACTAAGGTGCAGGGCTTGTTTTGTTTTATTGAACACAGGTTCCAAACATTCTATCACTGAGGTTTACCTTCAAGCCAACTTTTATTTTTTTTATTTATTTATGTATTTATGGCAGAACCGGGGCTTGAACTCAGGCCCTTGCGCTCGCCAGAGAAGTGCTTATTCCACTGAGCCATCTCCCCCACCCCTCCCCTTTATTTTAAAACAACAGATGTTTCTGCTCCCTGGTTCCCTTTGGCTATTTGCTTATTTTGGCATAGCTGTATAGTTCCAGCTGTCGGGAGGCTGCTGAATACCTACTCAGTACTCACTCAGTTCCTTATATTCTTCCAACCTGCCTCTTTCCAAACTTCTACTGAAATTTTTCAAAGTCACCAATGACCCATCATCATAAAATCTAATCCATTAGATTTTTCTTTTTTTGATGGAACCGGGGAGTGAACTCAGGCCCTTGTGCTTGCCAGGGAAGCACTTATTCTACTGAGCCATTTTCCTGTACCTAGGTTTTTCTTTTTGTAACAACTTAACCTTCCTGTATCTCCCTAAGAAAATGTGTACTAGGTATGCTAATTTCTAAATCTCTAATCTCCTTAGTTATAGCCTCCACATCTAGTCACTCCCTAAAACTGTAGTTACTTGCTTTACTCTTCTAACACTTTACCTATCTCTGGGGACTTCAGCTTTTCAAGTATCATATTTGTGTATGTGACTCCAAAATCTCCAGTCCCTATCTCAAAACTCCTACCAAAGCTCAACTCCTTCTACTGCAGTCTTTTTTTTTTTTTTTTGGTGGAACCGGGGATTGAACTCAGGCCCTTATGCTTGCCAGGGAAGCACTTATTCCACTGAGCCATCTCCCCAGTTCTCAACTCCTGTTTTCTATCTGTATCTCTAATTCATCCCAACCCTGGTGAAATTTCTGTCCAATTCTTCTAATCTTGGTGATGAAAACAAATCTGCAGTGCTAGCATACTCAAGTCACTGTGGAGTCAGATTCAAGGGAATTCTACAACTTCACGTGTCTCTCAGGGTCTGTCTCACACACACACACACACACACACACACACACACACACAATTTTACAACTTTAAGGGTCTGTCTCTCACTTCACAACTTTCAAAGATCACCCACACACAAGCATGTGGAGCCGAACAAAAGCTAACAGTGCCAACTCACAGACAAAGGCTGGGGAATTTCAGACCAGGTCAGTCTGGGCAACTTAAGAATCTGTCTTCAATAAAATAAGAAAGGACTTGGAGAATGTAGCTCAATGGTACAGG